GCATACTAACACAAAAGAATTTTTAGCCATCACCTTACCCTCATTCCCACAATACACCTTAAACACCCCCCACGACACTAACGAAACACGCAACTTTGTAGATGAATACGTTTTAATGCCCACTCTCTCTTGGACCTCATATTATCATTTTACTAACCCTCTTTGCTTACCTTTATCTAACACTCACATCGATATAGAGCGAAATACGGACATGCTATATCGACTCACTACACCACTAACCGCTAGACAATTTACTTACGTTGGATATAAAAAATCACTAAAAACACACACTGCACCTAGAGCTAACGAATATACACTCGAATACTATGATCACAACATCATCAGAGCTAACCAAGATCAATTCTTAGACGACGATCGCTTCGCTAATCCACAAATTACCGAAAAATTTTTCATCAAGACACCATATATATTTACACTAAACATCTTCGACCGAAAGTTTGATCACATTATTTCAGAAGCACTAACAGACACACAAGCATACGAAAGTTTTAAAGAACGCTTCCAAACATTTTCACTAACCTTTCATTTCCTTGCACCACACGAAAGAGATTTACACTGCTCACACGATATTATGTTGCGCACTAAACAAACCCACACATATAGTTATTATCGCTTCATCCAAAATCACTTTGACCTACACACACCCTCTAGACAACCACACCATCGTTTTCAATTCATTAATTCCAAATACACTTCACCATTTTTCCTAAATTTCACATATTGCATTAAAGATACTAACCTTCATGGTATTCTTCGCAATTATGATCCCATAACCCAAATGTACATCTTCTGTCCCATCACCAAGACCTTCAACGCCGAAGAATCCCGACCCTTCCTTATCCCGCACGAGTTTGTACAACCTATAGAAATCCCAATTTTAGAATTCATCCACAACACTAAATTCAATCACAAATTATATAATCTAATCCAAAACACACCTTATGAGTTTGCAGTTGGCACTGAAGAACTAACCACTATTAAGGCACTTCAATTGCTTTGGCCACTGCTTCAGACTAAAGATATCATCCGCATCTTAGCTAAACTACTAACAACTTCCGATCTCATCCACGACATCTTCCCCCACGGTTTTTTCCCCGACGACTAACAGGTAAGTATGAATTAAATGAATATTACTAACTAATTAAAATATTAAAAAACTCACCATACTTTATCCATGTTTTCTTTAGATTTTTAGCCTTCATCCGACAATCACCTACAAAAACCACAAAAGACAAATAAAAATCGCAAATTTCATCAAACAGATTTCAAAAATTCTATTAATCTCTTACACTTAGAATATTTAATACCAATGCAGTAAATTCATTTCTAAAATTTTCCCCACAAGCAGTAAATCTAATTATGATGAAAATTTGTAACTTAAAATTCCCCCATAACTAGCAGTAAATTTCCAAATTCTATGCAGTAAATTAATAAAATGCAAATGCAGTACTAACCTTTTGATATTCTCATTCATTCGCACAGAAATTCTATCCACACTCGCACAGCTCGCCCACGAAGAATTGTTTAGAATAATGAATTTCAGTTTCAAGTTTTCACACTCAACAACTCTAACATATAATAACATGTTTCAAACTTTCCTTTAACCCGGTTGGAAAGGAATCATATACTAAACAAAACTAACCAACGCAGCTTACTAAATACCACAAATCATAGAATAACAGCATGACTAAGAAAAGGAAACCAACGGTACCCAAACCGGATTAACCCAGTTTAAAACTGGATAATTTATTCTTTTGAAGACTATTATAAAGTCTAAGAAAGAAATAATAAAACACAAAAAAGTCGAAAGACAAACCCATACCACGAACAATTTGCTTTTTGAAAAAAGGACATAACCAACAAGACATAAGAAAAACCACAACAAACCCAACATAAAACGTTGTCACATAACAGGACCCCTCACAAAAACCGCATGAAATCATACTCCCACTCCTGGCCTAACCCACCAGGAAGGACGTCCTGAGCATGCTCTATAGCCGGCCTAACCCACCGCGCTACATCCACGCTTTGTGACCACACCTCTATTTTTAATAAGAGCTACTCAAGGGTGAGTAACTCTTCAAAATAACCGAACTAAAACAAAAAGCTTTTGTGAAAACAACCAACTAAAATCATAATTAAAAAATATTAAACTAATAAATGTTTTATAAAATGTAAATTACATTATGCAATACATAGATCAGAATACAACACCAAGGACGAACATCTAAAGACAAAACGACCCCACTACACTCGAGAGAGAATGACCAACCACAATCGATATGCCACTCACAATCACAACTCAAAGGATTTAGAGTACGACTTGACTTCGCAGAAAAGGACTTCATTGAACTAGACCAATGACCACCTCGATGTTCAAGTATACGTACAGATCCGAGTAACCAGGCATCCCCTCCACGCACAATCTCCACGCCATTCCCAAACTAGATCAGACACAAAAGAAGTTCTCCACGCAGAACAGAAAAACCTGACATAGCCAACCATTCTGAAATCAGATTTGAGTTTGTTGCAAAGACTTAGTCGTTGTCACTAGAAGACACAACGTCTTATGTCTCTAACTCCAGCTTCCTGGAACTTCTTTAACAAAGAGGAAACGGAAGAAAATGATGTTCGCCAAAAACCAACGTCCATCATCCATCCTTCGAATCGCAGAAGAACTATTCTAAAAAACTCTGTAAAACCCGGATGGGTGGAACCTGATCTAAACTACATTTTATGATTGGATAAATTAGATATTTTACCAATGTAAAGTATTTAATATTAACCAATCATGATCCATCTAACTAACAACCCACTTATTTGTAAGTGCTGAAGTTACTTGTAATTTCAGCACCAGAGAGATTTGAATTTAACTTAGAAATTAGTTGGACTCTCCCGAGCACTTCAGCAGCCGCAATAAACCAGTATACCCTAGATCTATTGAGCCTAGCAGAGACTAGTTAAACAACCTGAGACTAGATAGTATAAGAGTAAGATTAGGATCGGTATTAGACTAAGAAGTTGCACGAATCTATCCGGCCGAAAATAAGATAGCGTGACGAGCAGACGGTGTACCCTATCCGAAATTACTCTATGAGTTATACACTCCAGTCCTAACTCATTTTAACCTTTTTTCATATTACAAAAATTATTAGTACTAATTTGTGCTGTAAAATGATTTATATGATTGACTTGGGGTGGAAGGGGGAGGGAGGCTAACGGTTGAACCAGGGGCGGATCTAGGATTTTCTCGAGGGGGGGGGGGGGGGGGGGGATTTTCAAAAAATTTTCGAAAATTTGACGACCTTTTTTTTTAGGTCGACCAAATTGATTTTTCGAGCTCTCCCAAAGCATCAGGCAAATTTTTGAAAAACGGTCAAAAAAGCCGTTTTTGGGCATTTTTTGAAAAATTTTGACAAAAAAATCGCGTTTTTTTTTTGGCGCGCGCTCCCCCTGAAAAAATAGTTAATATTGGCGCCGAAGGCGCCCTTAAAAAAATTTTAGGGCCAAAAATGGATTTCTTAAAAAGTATCAAAGGGGGGACCCTTTGGGTCGGCAGGGAGTCGAATCCCTGAGGGGGGGGGGCGTCCACCCTGGGTTGAACCACTATTTAGAAATTCACAGACGCTGGCTATCATAGAAATCAACGAATTGCAAAATGTGTGAGTACTTCTTATTCTTTTTGTGAACGTCCAGATGTTGATATAAGTCCAAACTTTGAGCTGGCGCATGCAAGTGTATCCTTTGCACTACCAGAAAGAGCATTCAAATTATTTTTATTTTTTCTTTTAATTTTTTCATGTTATTACTGCTCCCTAGACCTTAAAAGGCAGTCGGAACATTCAGGGCTTTGCCCTGATACGAGTAGTCTTGAATTAATTTATAATGTAACTGAAAGATTATTCATAAACTTTCATATTGCTAAGTTTTCATAGTTGCTGTACCATACTTCTGTAGAGTTAACCAAGGTTTTAGAAGCGAAAAATTGGAAAACGTCTTTTTTTGAAGTTTGCGTTGACGTTTGCTTTAGTTAAGCCCCAAATATTTCTTAAATAGGTCTTCATGCAACCGAACAAATTCAGTAATTTATAATAAGATTATCACTCATATCAGGGCAAAATCAAGAACATTCCGACTGTCTGTAAAGTCAAGGAAATAATTTTACTTAAATGTTGAAGTCTTTTTTTTTCGAAAAATTTTGCGCTCAATTGACAGTAGTTGACAATTTTCAAACTTTTTAAAAAAACTACAAAAATTCACAAACGTTTTGAAATTTTAGCTCAGGACATCGAAAACTTTCAATTGATATTTTAAAAACTGCCGCCGAAAATGGCCAGTTGAAATTTGTCAGTAGAAAAGGAAACCGCACCGACCACTACTACTCGGTTAATTTGTTCCTTCGAAAGTCGGAACGAAAATGACTTCGTGAAACTTTTGATACAGGTTTTCTTATTTTATCTCAACGTGTTTCAGTAGGCTGATCATAAAAGCAAAAGGGGAAGGCCACAAAGTTTTATTGTTTTATTGATCACTGAAATAAACATGTAGAGAGAAAGCTATTGAATTGGATCAAAATTGCCAGTGCTGAAAAGTTCAAGGACACCCCAATAAAGCTCCTACATTCAACTTTAAAGTCAACCCTTGTTATAAAATTGGTTGATTTTGGCTATCGCATTAGAATGCACTGGTTTTTCCAAATTTTCATTGATTAAAAAACAAGCACTTGAACTACTTCATTCTAATTCGAATTGTTCTCCGACATTGGAAGAAAGTGACGAAAGGCTTGTGCTCGCAAGGGTTTTTTCTTCAGACAAAATTCCAATTTTCAACTAGCCATTTTTGACGTGGTTCTCTTTACAGTCTTTAAGTTTTCATTTTCTGAGCTCACAGCTACAAAAGATATTTTACTTGTTGTCAATCTGCAAGTCCCCTAGAAATATTCAGGACGAAGATCAGCTCTAAAATGCTTTTTGTTTCAGCTCTAGTCAGTTGAAATCCATGGACGAATTCACGAGAGACGCTTTCTGGGCTGTGAAGTGCAACTTCAGCGGAACCCTAATCCTTCTGACCCCATTTGAGGTCAACAACCTATACGACACACTTAATAAGATGAATCATGCTGTACTTTTCATGTTCCAACCGTACTACCAGAAGCCTTCCAGACAGATCGTGGCCCTTCAAAACATGTGTGGCTTTTCGGTTCCCAAAGGAAATAGTTTGACATTTGTCGATTTGGTTCAGTTTGCTGAGTTGAACTTGTTCGCAGGAAATCTATATTTCGAAAATGCGGAACAGGAACAATGGATTTGCAGCTATTTAGGTGAGCTGTTATTTTAATTTTACAAATGGGTTCTTTGTAGTTCAAGATTTTTAAACTGATTGAGGCAAATCGTATAGCAAAAATATTCATCTTTCATCCCCTACCTGTCATGTACATTTAAGCGATCATTTATTTTTTACTGAGTACAGTGTTAAATTGAATTATCTTGATAAAACGAATGAAATTTGAAACAAGTTTTTTTCACATTGGCTTGACTTTAGACAAAAATGATGACGAAAAATCTTGCTTAGTATTTCAGCAGAAATCATATGTAGTAGTTTATTTTGCCAAATTCGGGTCCACAATTTAACCCCTAATTTTAAGAAAGGTCCTATCGTTTCAGTTTGTATAATTAAAATTTATTTTCGTTTGAAAGCCAAAAAATGTATATTTTACTATATAAAGTACGAATTTTGTATCAAAAACAAACAAACTTTAGATCTTCTTTTACAACAACTTTTGGAGATCATACCTTTTAACCTTTGTTGGGCTATATACGAGGCTGACTTGAATATTTTTTGTCAGCAATTGGACTAATAGTTTGGCTTAATTTTTGATTGAGTGAAAAAAGCTGAAAATGGTCGTTTTGGATTTAAATTTTGAACCCGAAATTCGCAAAATATTTTACACCATAATAATTCTGCTAAATTTTAAGGCAACTTTAGTTCCATTCCCTTATTGTCTAATCTCAACTCAATTTGAGAAAAATTCGTTTGAAGTAAAAACTTTTTGTTTGTGGATAATTTAAATCAGCACTGAATCGATTTTGTTCCGAATTTCATTCAACACAATTTTTTTGAATAAAAATAAAACCGCGCAATTTGAACGTGGTTTTTGCTTAAGATGTTCTATTAAAGGCTCAAATGTGTGTATAAATATATCAAGTTTTCTCTATATTCAACATTCATGATTTACCTTATAGAGTAATACAAGAATGCTCAAATCAGGTCAAAGGCCTGAATATTTTCCGGCTGCTTTTGATTTCTATGGAGATTTAAAAATGGAGGAAATTAAAAAAAACACTGAATTTTTTGTTTGTTTGTTTGTTTTCTGAATATCATCACCCAACAAGCTATTTAGGGCACAATATTGCAAAGTATTAGATAAACCAAAGATCATGCCGCATCCTTGTTTTATGCGATTTCTAGTACGGATTATATCTCCGCTTGCGCGTTTAAATATCGCGCGCTATTCGTCTCAAATTGGCAATCTTTAAACCCCCATAACTTTTTAAAATTAATCTCAGGTGAAACAGGTTTTTAAGAAAAAAGTTTTCCGGATTAAAAATTTAACAATATATAAGAAAAAAGTTTTAAAAAGTTTTTCATTTTATTTTTTAAGTGTTCCTTAGTTATTGAATATTCAATCAAGTTGAACTTTCTGTACCACTAGCAAAGAGGCCGCCTTTTGCCATCTTTTGCTGTAGGTGTATAAAGGAGGAATTATAGGTGTACAGAGGACGCCTTATGCTTTCCTTGTTGGCTGTCCAACCAGCAAATAATTAGGCGTAATGCCTTCAAATCTATCCGGCTCAATTTTTGCGGAAATCATTGGTCGCGCATTTAAAAATTGTTTGACCAAACAGAGCGTCGTGTCGATTACTTCTGTTTTGAGTTTGCGAGTTCCAAGTAACCAAAAAGGTGCATGCTTGCAGGACCTTACCAGACGCTCCCATGATATGGCGCACCCGGAAAAGTGTAATTCCATTTTAAGCCTTCGAAGTTTGCATTATTACCCCACGAAGTTTGTACTATTTTGCAACCAAATGACGGACGGAGTTCCTCGGCGGGCAATGAATCTACCAATACCCAAAAGCCACGAGTTGACATCCATAGAAGGTACGGTTACGAAACGGATCGCTCGTTGTGTCATGCAATTAAAAAGAAAGCTCCACCGCTTCTCTGAGCTGCTGCGAACAGATAGTTAAAACGAGCCCAATTAGTCAAATCCGCAATACCAATGAGCAGGTTTTTTTGCACGCTTGACGCTCTAGATAAATATACGCCCTCTTGGGGATGACACGTTCAACTTTGCGCTTTTGACATGCAAGCATAATTTTTGGCTTCACTGAGGATTTATCTCAGTTGACAGACGGCGATATGAGATGTATAGCGGCGCGCATATAATCGAGGGACTGATACCTAAGATAATCAAGGGACTGATACTTAAAAAGAGGATGGCGAATGAAACGTTTAACAGGATAGCGACGACCATCTATTTTCACAGAATCTTTCGCTTCAAACTAGTTTCAAGAAGACGCCTGGTGGGACCAATTCAAGGTAACAGTCCATTTAGTCTATTAAATGGTTAATATACGGCTACTCGATGCGAATTTTCCATGGATTTATTGGTCTTGAGTAGTTTTATTTCTGCCGTGAAAGAATCATTTTGGGAGAGCTGAAGGGTCGATTGCGTTTTTTTTAAAATGGGAAATGTGCGTATCTAGGCACGAACCTGAACACATTAGTCGATTGGCGCAAGAGTTTAGAAAAAGAGCTTGTTTTTTGCATAGGTAATTATTAGTTTATCGAATTCGATAATTTACTTGTTAATCGGCTCCTATTCCAAGTGGACCTTTGTCTGTGGCATTATCACCGGTTGCTACGTGGTACGACTCATCAATGGTTGTTGAATCAACAGTCTCACAAATTCTATTGACAACGAAGTCAAGTTCTTCTCATCCGTGTGGAGCCATTGTAGAACAGTTGTACGGATAGGCCACATGAATGTCCGTGATATCAAGCGAATTGTCGCCAACATGTGAATTTTTACTATATCAACAGGCGCACTGAAGTAAGCGCGTGGGATGGCCATTCTTCCCAGCAATGATCTTTTTCCTTATGTCTTCAGTTAAGTGATCGCTTTTCTTCACACGCCAATTCTCTTTTAACAGGAGACGGGCTTGTGCCATATAAGGCGCAACAAAACCAAGGGAATCAAACACTGATGACACTAAAATAAAAAGGTTCTTTGTGTGATCTCTCTAGGCAGCTCACGATCTACCTCGGCTAACGTACCAGGGTGTTCATTATAAGGTCCCAGTTCTAGTCCAAACATACAATGCCTATACTTTGAGACCTGGTTTTCAAGATCATTCGAATTTCGTGAAGGATTGAAGTTGAAGTTGAAATTCGTGCGACCTATGCGAGACATATATTTTGAGGCCTGGATTTCAGTCTCAGTTGAAATTTGTGAACAATATTCCGTATAAAAATATTTCAATGCTCTAGTTTGGATCCAGATATTTAAAGAAAAGAACACCCAGGATACGAGAATTAAATATTCTGGACCGCGCTTTAACTCAAAAACCTTAAATTATTTTACAAAAACCTCAAAGATATAATCAAACTGAAATATTTATGGAGACCGCATTAATTGCAGATTTTGTCAATATAAACTTATAATTAGTTATTTAACAAATTGTCTAGCTTAGAATTACCTATGTTTATACCTTAAACGCTTTTTTTGATTTAGGTTTTTGAATTGAGCGCAATCACATATTTGTGCCGCGAACCGGAATGTTTAATTCTTGTATTCCGTGACTTTTTTTTTGAACCACGGTGGAGCTGTGGATTTTTTCACCTAGAACATCCTTCAAGATGTTCAACTTCAGTCCTTCACGAATTCCATCTTTAGTCAAAGCGACCTTAATTCTAGAGGCCCACACAACTATCTGCCGTGCCATTCGCCTGACCTAACGATTACTTGTTTGAAATTAAGAAAATAATCTTCCCGAAAAAGTTTAGGGACAAGTTGAGTCTGGGCAATTTCATTCCAGTGTGCCGGACAGATTTCTCTGTGTGGCGCTAAGTGAGAGTTCTAAGATATTCCTTGTAGGCGTGAGTAGCCTTGGGTTGAAAGCAATTACCTTGATGTAAGGTCAAAGGACTGCAGCCGACGTTTGGCTGCTACCCGTTATACTTGCTCAAACGTATTTATCATCCTGGGTAGCGGCACCAAAAATGTGACCGCGCTCAACTCAAAAATCGTAAAATTTTTGTTTAAAGGCTAGAATGTGTTTAAAGTAGCATCCTTTTGTGATACACGGTAAATCATGTACAGACGGCAATAACCTGCCAGACAAAATTATTTTTTTAGTTATAAATACATTTTGGTGCGGGCGACTGTTTTGTTTCTTAGATGGTTCGAAAGAATTTTAAAACAAAAATGATATTCTGTGATAGGTTTTGAGACTTTTAACGATTGAAAGGTAAACTTTAAAACTTATCAGTTGTGCGACTATTTTATTTAAAATTTATATCATGCTATAAATGATTTGATTTTGAAGTTTTCATCTAAAACTTTTGCAGAATATTATAACACCAGAAAAAATGACCTCAATCGCCTTGTTACGCGTGATAATTTTTTGTTTACTGAGCTCTCAGAATTTAAATTACGCTATTTGTCTGCCGAGTTCCTCGCCTGTTTCCAAAAAAAACTTTTTCTATGGTTCAGCTCAAATTTCGTTAAGAATTAATAAATATGGAGCCAAAGAAGAATTTCGTTCAAAACTGATTCGCTTTTGTTTATATTTCTTGAAAAGTTCAACTGTATCTTAAAAATGGTGCCGTCAATTGTCGTCAGCAACCGTCTAAAAACTAATTTAGATCTTTTCAAATTTTAGCCCATGTTTTTGTTCTGTTAAGGTCTTCTACCCCTTCCGCGATCATCAGAACAAAACAAGGCATTCCAAAAAAAGTTAATCACTTCGGATGGATTTGTGAAACGAGACAACAGGTGCCATGTGGCTGGAACAGCACAGTGGAGATGTCCCTTCGACAGAATAAGTCCAGTGTCCGCTGTCCTCGATTTAATCAGCATTCGAAATGTGGAATTGTTGTATCCATCTAGCCACATGCACAGTCTCTTATCGAGATGTCACTCCAATTTCCGCGAATCTCAAACAAGCTGAACTCAAAAAAGTAAAACTCAAAAAAATTAACTGAAAATTGTATCAATTGACCGCAGATTGCTTGTAAACATAGTTATAATGATCTTCATTTGAGATGTAAATGCTGTTATCATTTTACTTATGTGACTTGCGTATTATGTATTGACTGCATTTTTGAAGATAGCCATTACTGTAATATTAACAATACTGATATATCCTGGAAATACTAACTGCAAAAGTCCTTTTTAAGTTGATTTTGAAAACCTACATATTTGCCTATTCAACTTGAATTAACTTCTTCGCTTCACTTGAATTAAATTCCGAAAACCAGCAAAGACTGCTCGTATATCAAGCCTTGAATGTTCAGACTACACTTCAGGGCTGAGTAAAAAGTATTTTGCATGAAAAATTTGGGAAAAAATGGAAACTTTTTGTTCAATTAATCCCTCACACGCTAATAAAAACTACTAAGTAATAATTTATGTATTTATCTTCTCTCGTGTCTTAACAATAATATATCGCTCGGTAATTATCCCAAATTAGCAGTTTTCAAAACAACATAATTTTACCAAACATGATCACAGGTTGAATTTTGTTTTAAATATGAGCTCAAGAAAAATTTTTGTTATATTTCGTCAGCGATGCTATAAAAATTTCTGTCAAGGAGGCTATAAAAAAATTCCGGCAAGAGCGGTTGTTAAAAGTCGAAAATTAACTGAATAAAAAGAACACCCGAAGCATAAATAGTCCATAATTTCTTCGAAAGCCAAATCAACAAGACTGGTAAATCAGTGCAATGCCCTGAATGTTTCGACTGCCTTTCAGGGTCTATGGAGCAGTGTTTAATTTAAAAAAGGTGAAATTTTCAGAAATAAATGAAAGTAATTAAGAATTTTTGTGGTTTCTTTAAATCATCCCTCCGCACGCCATACAAAATAAAGTGAGGATTTTGCTCTTAGCAACGAGATTGATTAAAAATTTGAGTTCAGGATAACACTAATTTTTGGCCCATTTAAAAAGTTCTTTGTTAAAAAATCGAATTTTGTCTGGAGAAAAGAAAAAACAACGCCGAGCACAAGTAATGCACCACTTTTTTCGAAAGCCGTATCTGTGTGAAGCACTGAACGTTCCGACTGTCCTTAACTCTTATGGAGCAATTTTTGCTTTAAAAGTATGACATGTTTCAAAAACAATGAGAATTTTTTTTAAATCACCCTCAACCGCACACCATAGAAAATAAAAAGCAATAGATTTTGCCCTAGCAACGTAGAAATTATGACAGTTAGGCCAAATAACCAGTTTGGAACCTTTTTTAAAATAGAGTTTGGAACGTTTACTAAGATAGTCGTAAATAGCTAGTTAAAAAGTCGAAAATTGTTTGGAGAAGTGAAACCAATCCGAGCTCAAATTTTCCGTCACTGTCTCCAAAAGTCAAAAGAATGAGGCAAACGGACTAAAAAATGAACATTTAAATGAGGCAGCGTAAAATTCTAACACTGTTTAGACTAGACGGTTTCATGAAAATAAGTAGTCTTTAAATACTTTCAACTATTGCACCGAGCAAAAAATGAAGATGTTGTATGAAATTTTTGTCTACCTTTGTAGGCCAAGAAAGTTCATTTTTCATTTTCTGCTTATTCTAGCAGAATTTACATTTTGTATGATCTTGCAAAATTACTACTAATAGATTCTTCACATGCACATTCGTCATAGGAGCTTAAAAAAGACAGTTTTGCTATGACCCGTTCAAAAATCTTATATCCGAGCGTTCGACTTTGACTAAAGAAGATTTAACAAAAAAATTCCGATTATAACTACAATTCAACAAGAATTTTGGTTGCTGTGCAGCAATCACTGTGCAAAAGCTCCAAATTTAAAAATTACTCGAAAAATTTTTGTTAATTATTTTTCAAATTGAGTTGTTTTTTATGTACTGCGATGACAGGATATAAACAAAAGCTTATAATAAATTTTTTTGATAAAATTATTAAAATAAGTAAATAAAACATTTGGGTTTTAGGGAAAAAAATGAATTTAATAGAACACTAAAACTAAAGACATGGTCTACAATTTTTTGCTTGCTTTTTAAAAAAAGTTATTCCCAAAAAGCTAGCAAAAAAAATTTAAAAATGCAGAAAAAATTTTATCCACAACATTCAACAACGCTATCAACCTCACTATTTGATATAATAGAGTTTTGATTGTAAATGAGCATAACTAAAAGATTGATTTATATTTTATTCAGTTTTTTGTTTAAAAAATTTGGTGAAATTGAGTACACAGTCATGCATCTGCAACAACAATGACTATGCCAAAACTTTCATCCACTTATTTCAGAATCACAATTTTTTTTTCAGACATGAATTTTAATAACAAAAAGCACGAAACAACGCGTAAATAAAACTAGGAAAAACGTATGCTATTTCATCTAAATGCTATTTCATTCAGCCCCGTAAAAATACCCCCTGGGATAAGCCAGTTAGATTGATTCGTTTTTTGCTTAATTCACTATTTAAAATTCCAAACCAATTTTTGTCGACCCTATCTTTGTGTGGAAAAAAAATCCACGATAGAATTATTAATTAATAAGGTCATCATGTTTGAGTTTTTTCAGCGTATTATTTTACATGCAACGAAAGCATCTTTTCTTTTGAAGTTTATGCTATAAAGTATAAATTTTTTGACTCTACGGTTTGAATTCAGTGTTTCTTTCACCAAAATTGAAATAATCAACCAGATAATAAGAGCTGTCGAAGTTCTCTCACGGTTTTCGAATTCGGCCTCCAAAATCGAATAGCCAATTGTTTTAGCCTACAAGATAAGACAGTTTTTGTTATTTTTACCAAATTTCCCAACTTTGGGATTAGTGGCTACCAGGACATTCTCAGGGGGTAGCAAATCTTGCCTCCGAAATTTCTGATCAAGTCCTTTTAGTTTCCGATATAAAACATTTTCTATGACTTTTTTCCTCAAAATTTTAGATATTAAAATTTCACACAATTAAAAAGTGCCAGCTCGAGAGTGGGACTCTGTAGTAATTTACTGAGGATTTTTATAAGTCTTGCCTCCAAATTTGATTGTTGAATTTTTTAGTTTTCGAGATATGACGTTTTTTACGATTTTTTCGAATACTTTCACAAAAATCAGATTTATGAAGAAATTAACAAAATTTGATATTCCTACAATGCTGAAAAAACCTTCACACCGAAAGTTTTTTAGTTTATGAAATGCTTTAAAACCTGAAAGTGCTTGAAACGCTTTCAAGTTTTCTTGAAACTTAAAATGCTTTCAGTTTCCGCAATTAAACATTTTTTTGGGAAGTTTTCAAAAAAATGATATCTAAAAATTTTCATGAAAAAAAGTTTCACAAGAACAAAATTTGGCAGTGCCAGCGTATTGTCAGAGATAATAATTTTTTCCTTCAATTATGACTGCTCAAATTTTTCAAGTTCCAGGATATTACTTTTTTTCAATTTTTTTATATAATGTTTCGAAAGGATGGATGTTAAAAAAATTTGATTGAAATTTGAATATAAATGAAAACAACAAGACTCTATTGGGGTGCTTTTAGGTGTACTCTCAGAGGTTGCAATCGCCTCCTAATTTGACCGCTCAGGTTTTATAAATTCCGAGGTTTGATGTTTTTCTACGATTTCTTAAAAACTTCCAAAAATTTGATTGAAAAAAGTATACAACTTGAAATTCCTAACTTAACAGTGGGTTGGTCTCTGATAGTTTTCAAGTTTGACCAAACAATTAATCTTTTTTTTCTTCAAAATATGCCGTTTTTATATTATTTTCCAAAACTTTCTTATAAACTTAGGCTTAAAAGAACTTCACAAAATTTGAAATTCTCAATACTAGGGTTGAAAGTGCCGTCAAAAAACATTCAAAAAGTTTGTATCTATACTCCAAAAACGCTTTTTATCGTACAGATGACGTTTTTTTTTATTTCGAATAAGTTCAGTTGTTTCAAAATTGTTCAAAAAATAATGGAACTAAAACTTTTTAAAATTTCAAGCTCACAACCCTTCGGTGGGTTGTTTCCAGCAAATGAGCTGCAATTTTGGCCTCCACAATTATATTATTCATCAATCAATTTTAAACTAAAGACGCTGACAATATTTTAAATGGTTTATTCGAGCGTTTTTGCAGAAATTCAGCATCACCGAGATTTCAAATTTTTTTACAATAATAATTTAAAAAAATGGAGAATTAATGACAAATCTATCTGAACAACATACTGAAACTTTTTTGACCAATCAGAATCATACAACGCTAATTACATAGTACATTACTTGATCTTTTAAAATTTTTTATTTTTTTACTGAAATTTTTTTCGTGTTTACGTTCAAATCTGAGAGCTCAAAATTTTGAGTTTTTTAGCCACATTTATAAATCGACTGCATTTCAATTCAATTTTCAATTCAATTATTCGATACAGTGAAGAAATACTAGTTTAGGGGTATTGCCTGTTCAAACAATAATCTCAGACTGCAGCTGAGCTTTTCAGTCTACCTGTTTCTACCACGATCTTGCGCATGTTGCACTTCTGGAGAGTGCCCTTTTTGCAGTTTCATCAATCCTCGTGACCTAATGTTACGTCGTTTCGATTTAAGGCCCCTATAGACAGCGTTTAAACCACTTTGGATTTTAGTTCTCGTGCAAAAGAAACTCTGAGGGATGTCGAGTATGTTTTTAACCTTGTGGTAGTGAAAACCTTCGTGTCCTGCACTTTTGCAGCCAGTAATTTTGATAAGTTGCCTCGATATTGCCTTTTCAAAATAGAAAAAAAACATCTGTTCTTTTTTTCTATTTATGCTGCAATCGTTTAAATTTGCTTACATTCGATGAGCTTAACAGAAGAAAAATTTGAGCTAAAAATTGCCAAAATTTACAGCAAGGGAAGCTGTCTGTGCTAAGCAGTCTGTTTGAACATAACAACAACCGCTGCGTTTAAAGTGAACTCTATGGTTAGCTCATACGTTCTCATTGTGGCTTCTTTGAATGGCACGGTAATTTCTGAGCTGAAGAGACAAGACGATGAGTGCAACTTTGTATATAGCGCGAAGTAAAATCGAAAAACGGAGTATGGAACGCCTAGGACATATGATACGTATGCCCGACGACAGAAGAATGAAGCACGTAACTTTTGGTTGGTTAAGCAAGTTAGAAAAAACTGAAAAACCGAGAGCGAAGTACCGTTGTACTCCCAGACAATGGATCAAATTGATGTGCGAAGCAGGAATTGACCAACTAGATATCG